TGTAATGTCCGCGAACCAAAAATGTGTATTTTTGGTGGTGCGTCGAACGACGCGGAGGGCTTGCGTCGAGCGACGCAAATCTTTAATCAGACCGGGAAGTCGGGTTTGATCGCACGGTTTGCGTGTTGGTTAAGGGAGAACCCTAGGGTTTGATATAAAAGGCTGGAACAGGGTCCTGGCCGCTTTGTTGGATCAGAATCAGAAGAGAAAGGTGGGGAGAGAGAGTGAGACTTGTTCTTGAGAGGTTCATTGTGTGAACAGCTTCTGATCGGATCTTTGAGAGGGCAAACGGCGGGGCTTTTCGCGGCGGATTGGGTTGATTTTTGGAGGGTAAGTTCTCCAATCTCTGCTCGTGTCATAGGCGAAAACGGTTTGTCTTTTGGTTGTTTATTCACCGAGTTATGGCTGTTTGAACTCGGTGGGTTTGTGCAGATTGTTGTCTGCGATCAGTCGGGTTCAGAGGGGAATTCCGATCGAACCAGAAGGAGTCTGAAGGCGATCTACATACCGACGCGTAGCTGTGTGTGTCTAGTTTCCGTAACAGTCGCCTGTTTTGGAATTGGACCAGTGGTTCGTCGTGTACAAAGGTTTTTGTGAACATCGTTCATTCGTTCATTGCGATTCTTCGAGGTGAGTGCGTGATCATGAGTTGTGTGGACATAGGGATAGATGGAATGCGTTTGATTGTTGTTTTCGTGTGTTCTGTGATTGGGATCGTGTAGGTAACTCGATAAATCGCGACGGATTTGAGCCACGAGAGGATAGGCTCGTTTCTGTGTATGTCGCGTCGATCGACGCCAGGGTGGTGCGTCGCTCGACGCAGACGAGTCGCGTCGACCGACGCCTAGAGGTTGCGTCGCTCGACGCAGACGCTTCGCGTCGACCGACGCCTAGAGGTCGCGTCGCTCGACGCAGAGTTACTGTACGGGTTCGTGTTTAGTTCGTATTGCTTGCCTGTGTGCTCATCCTGGTATTTGTCTTTCATTATGTCGATACTTAAT